TAAAACTAACCTAAACCTTGGTTCTAAACCTAACCACACACCCGTAATTTGCATTTGGACCAATGGGGACCTGGCATTGTTCCCCACGATGCACGTGCGGTCCCCACGAGGCTGCGTTTTTGGGAAATTTGTCCCCACGACGTAGGAAAAACAAGGCTACACATACACACACAATCACTCGTTCTTTGCGCATGACTTTATTCCTATTACTCAGAAATATTTCTCCCTCACATTATGTTTAATTAATTATTTTCCTGAATCTACAGTAAAAATAATTTCRGATCCCACAGGGATCACACACATGTCCTTCACACATGCAGGAAGTAGTTTGGATCTATGTAACATACTGTATAATAAAGGTGTGTCAGGGGAGGTGTCATGTGTTCTCAGTTCCACATTAATTGTGATGTTCAAAAGAAATGTGCAGTTTGATACAAATGGACTTTTTTTGTGTGTACACCATTTTCTGGGTTTGACCTTATGCCACATTTCAGTGAGAAATCCAAGCAAGTCTTTGTACATCAGACCTCTGGCAATGTTCCAAACACTGCAAATTTATCACAGAGAAAAACATAAAAATTTACCCAAACATATTCTATGTAGATTCCTTTTTTTGGGGAAAGAAATTACAATTTAAGGGGTATTTGTCTGTTCAAACTTGTTACTGTGCTCACTGTGGAAGAGTTTTTGTGTTTGTGTGTGTGGAGTGAAATTGTGGAACAATTTGTGTGGAGTTGAAGCAATGTCCAAACATAAAAAGAAAGTATAAAGACATTGTTTTCATGAATTATAAAGATATGTATAATATGAAAATTGCTTTTATTAGGAAACATTATTTAAATATTGTAAATATGTTTATTGTTTCACTAGCAGTTGTGTTGATGCTGAGTTASATTGGTGAAGGTTTATAACTAGTGATGAAGGGGTGGGATTAAAAAGTTTGTAATTCTTCCCACTCCTTTTCATGGGAAGTTATACTAGAAGAAATGAAGAGACACTTTTGCACTTGTTAATTTTAATTTTCTTTTATTTTTAGGTTCTTTATTTTTGTTTCTTTTCTTTGCTTAAAATGGTTGTCTGTATATAGTTAATACATTCAAAACAAAACAAACCAACAATAAGTATAGATGTAACACCTTCCAATAAGATTTTCCATCAATAAAATAATCTAAAATAAACAAATTAACTAATGTATTAAAGTAGTGTTGGTTTTCCATGAATACGAAATGTTTTGTGTGCATCTTACCTTTAGATCTCTGTGTACAATGCTGTTTTTGTGCAGGTAACAGACGGCCTGCAGCACCTGTTTGATCACATTGCTGGCATCCTTCTCAGTATAAACTCCTTTGTCCAAAATGCGATCAAACAATTCCCCACCTGACACCCTGCACATGCATGACGACAAACACAGGTGGACACAAATAAGAGAATATTGTTAAACTGAAATGGACGAACTGCCCAATACATTTACAGCYGCCTGTATTTGATCTCAACCTGAATCATGTAAACACAACCTACAGCTGATGTCAGATGTTTACATACACCAAATACACTGAAGAAATTTAATGGGGTTTAGGTTATTTACTGATTTTAAGTACATACACAGGGTATAGTCTTCTGATAAGAACTATTAGCGCTAGAACTGTATATTATTCATCTTTAATAAGAGAGAATAAACACAATCCCAGGTTTCTGTTCAGCACTGTAGCTAGACTAATGATAAGTCCTATGTTGAGCCATGTATCCCTATAACTCTAAGTAGTGATGACTTCATGAGATTCTTTATAGATAAAATTATTTTAATTAGAGATAAAATTCACAACAATCTTCCTGTTGTTGTCTCTGATTCTCTGTCAGATGAGGCAGCTTTAGTGTCACTACAACCTGGTCTGGACAGTTTTTGTCCTGTTGAGTTCTCTGAATTATCTAAAATAATAGCTTCATCCAAACCATCAACATGTCTGCTAGATCCCATCCCAACCAGACTGTTCAAAGAAGTATTTCCCATAGTTAATATCCATACTTTAGATCCACTTTATTTATCTTTAATGAATGGTTATGTGCCTCAGAGCTTTAAGGTAAATAAACCTTTTCTTAAGAAACCTGATCTTGATTCAGGAGTTCTGGCCAAGTATAGACCTATTTTTAATCTCCCATTCATCATAAAAAATTCTTGAGAAAATAGCTGCAAATCAACTATGTGAACATCTGGATAGAAATAATCTATATGAGGAGTT